CAAACGGCACGCCCTTACTCTGAACGCGACATGTGGCAGACAGAGCGTAAAGCAAAAGCAAATTAGATTTCTTTCTTTTATTATACAGGATCGTATGTACAAGGTCACCTTTCTCCCAAACATCAGCATGACAGTCAGTTCATAGCAAAAACTGCAGCCCGTCTCTCAAAGCCTAGACAACAGCTCTACAACGGCTCAGTACAACACAATGGATAAATTGTACAGGAACCGGAAAAAGGTAGGGGAAAGCACGGTTATCCCTTTAATCCCTCATGAATTATTTGAAAATAAGAAATGCAAATAAAACATTGTGCTTCAAGAGCCATGCTTGCTCCAGGATGGCCCTTGGGGGAGGGAAGTGCTGCCCCTGGGACCTGTTTTCCCCTTCACCCTTCAAAGAGAGATGCCGTAGATGAGGCCTGGCTTTGAGCACTGGGGCAGAACGCAGGAGCCCCCGTTCAGAGCACGCTATATGACCTGGGGGTGGGGGGGCACGTGGTTTGTGGGAAGGTTTGACCAAGGAGAAGGTGTGGATGCTGTTCTGGATTCAAAGCACTGATGTGCGCGTGTGTTTTGGAGGGGAAAAGGGGAGATGGGCAGGACACATCTGATCTGAATAAAGTGCTGCATGGGTTTCAGTCCCATCTACCCCTGAACTCAGAAAAACAGGGTAAGCCCACGAAGGAGGAACAAACAAGAAGAGAAAGGCTGAGAGACCTCTCGGGTGTTGTGGTGTAAGGTGGTTCCCATGACAAGCTGCATGCCGGCTGCTGCAGCCCTCTGCTTGCAGGACATGGCACGGGTCAAAAGCAGCTTGGATTTGGGTAGGCAGGGGAGGTGCTTGCACACCCACATGCATCGTGCTCGGGGCATTCACCGCTACCAGTCTCATTATGCTCAGGCAAGTTGCCACGCTGTGCAGACCCCTCAGATTGGTGATGGAGGACAGCCTTCGCAGTCAGGAGCAGGAGCTGTTGTGCCGCTCTCTTGGCACGCCAGGTCGGTATGAAGACCCACATGTGGCCACCAAATGCTGGGGAAAGAGACGTGAGCACCCTGGGGAAGGGGCTGATGTCTCTGGCACTGGGCTGAAGAAGCGGGTGAATTAAATCCCTTCCAGGGAGCATCTGGTCCAAGAAAAGGCTCTCATCCACACATGCTTGCACCCCCTCACTCTGCAGAGACTTGCTCAGCTTTTACATAGTGGTTTCCCAGCAGAGAATGAGGAGACCAGACTGTTGAAGATGATGTTTGCTTTGTTTCTCCTGCTTGGGATGACTGGCTTTCCTGCAGGTAGCTTCCTTTCCCCTTCCCCTCTCTTCAAGCAGCTGCAGAGAGCACAGCACATGCACCAGCACCGACTCCTTTCCACCTGGAAGTGACCGTGTACCTGCGGCAGCTCACGGGGCAAAAGAGACACGACAGGAGGTGACCGTTCTGGGATGACAGCTCACCCCACACCCTCTTCCTCAACATGACCTTTAGCATGAGAACACAAATTGCCCAAACTGAGACAGTACTTTTCCCCCAGTCAGCAAATGCTCTGGCTCTCACCTAGCATGGGAAAAAACGTCTTTATTGGGTTAGGTGTAGTTCTCCCTCCTCTCCTACAAAAAAACTCTATAACATCTCTGACTCATTTGGTGACACAACTGCTCTCCCATTATCCTGTCAGTGATGGTTATGGATTGTGCAGGGTTTGGCTCCTGCCTTTGCTGGCTGCAGAGCTCCAAATCCATTGCACGGGGTAGTGGGGATTCACTGGGATGATGAGTTTTCTTTGTCTTTGTTTACAGATGGATGGAAGATGTTGGGCCATGTTTCTCCTTTTGAATGCCAGGTAGAGATGACAGCAGTACTTCAATTCAGCTTGTCTTGCTCAACGTGCCAGGACAGGGTTTAGCCTTGTGCTTTCCTCACACTGTTGCTCACTGCTGTTCTGAATGGGCTGCAAGGAGAGAAGGGGCCGGGAGGGGGGGAAGGTACATCATTTGCATTGAACCTTAAAGATTTGTGATTTAGGAAAGGGAGCAAGGGGCTGATCAGTGACCCAGCTGACCGGCCAGGGTCCGTGCTACGAAAACACAGATGATCAGTGGAAAAGAGCATCTTCTGAAGCAGCAACCCCCCCAACCCCAATGCGCATGGAATAAAAGCTTTGGCTTAGGATCAGCCTCTAAAAAGCAGTGTGAGATGTACCTGGTTACTGTAGTCTGGCATCCTCCACATCTGTGTAATGGCTGTTCTCCTGGAGGGAAAAGGAACCAGAAACAGTAAATCACCACGTGTCCCTGCTGCCTTGCCTGGGACACTGTGACACCTCCCAAGCAGTGACCAGCTGGTACCACGGTGTGGGAGAGCTTGCACGCTGCGAGCAGCGTCAGGTTGCTCAGTGTGATGGAAGGGCTACAAAACACACCTGATGTGGCCACCAGGTGCTGTGGCTGTGGTTTCGGGCAGACACAGTCCTGGGGAAACCCAGAAATTTCCTCTGGCTCCTTATTCTGTAGGGGTTCTGCCAAACAGACCTGGGATGGGTGATT